AGGTGATTTCCTTGGTGAACAGGCCAAGAAAAACGGGGGGGGGTGGTCTATTTTCCCCCCGGAAAAAACCAAAACAGAAACCACTTTGTCTGTTTGAGTTTTGAGGCAGACTGGCAAAGTTTTATTGAAATCGGTCAGATGGCATGTATCACGACTTGCCGGTCACTCGTGGACACGCTCTTAATTCGCCGCAGGGTCTTGACCAAAATCTCAAGTAACCCAACGCACTCCTCTCGTATCTGTTACACACAAGTTGCCCCATTCAACGATTATTATTATGAAGGCTAATAAAGTATGATATTATCAGCAGTAAATTTAAGAATGTTGACGATAGTACACACTTTGTGCGTTAGTATCGCGAGGTGTTTAAGAGAGGGAATTCAAAAAGGATATAAGCTAATCTGATATCACAAAAAAATTGCGAGGAAACCAAGAGCGAATCATGCTACACCACCCAATAGCTAGACAAATAAGACGTGATTCAACTTCCAAGGCTATAGTTAACGGTTAGGCAGATCTCGTAATCCTGTATCAGTGCAATTGAACAACACAAAATACATGATTTATCTAAGAAGGCACATCAAAATGTCTTCTTAGTGACAAAATTCAGCGCCAAGCTCAAACTGAATTGAAATATAGACTGCCTCGGGGTTCTCTTTTAGGAGCACTAATTTGCTTTCCATATCATATTGATAAAGATCAATCATAATTATTGGACATCAGAGGAATCCACCAGTATGCAGGGTGAATTTTCAAGTGACAAGATGTCCTTGAGAGGTATATGACCTACCGGTATATGAGTTTGTTGCATAATGCTACATTGACAATTTTGGACAGCTAAAAGCTAGATCGCTTCTCAATTGAACGAAGCCTCAAACTGAGGAGCACTTAGCTAAATGCAGTACAATAAAATTCCAATTAATTTGAAATGCTTTATAGTTTCAGCTTACCTAGGAACTAAAGGTCTCTAACAACTATTCGATATGTAATATTTCCTTTATAGACTATTTTAACTTTCTTTAATGTGCAATATTTCCAACGGAAATAATAAGTCTTTAAGTCTTTAATAATAAGTCTTTATTAAGCACTCTAAACAACAAACGTGTTTAGTTACAATGATATGAAATCAGCAAGTATAAAACTAATAAACTAACTAAATTACTAACTGAATAACTAATAAGAGAACAAACATCTATTAATAAAGGTCCTTTTGAAACGTTCAGTTCTGACAAGCGGGAGAATATAATTATGGCGCCTCTTACGTAGCGTATCCATTGTTCGCTCTGGTGGCAAAAGGTCATCTAAAGCTGTTGGAAAATCGCTGTCGGTGATCTTATTATGAATAATAATATTTTCAATCGAAAAAAGCTCTTTACAGTAGCCAAGCTTAAAAGCTCTCTTGAACAGCCTGTCTATGCGACTCAGATACTTATGATAATACGCGCAGCCCCATACTTCTACAGCATATGTAAATATAGGTAGAATAAGACTGATAAAGAGAAGATGAAGATGATCCAGCGGCAGTCCATAGAATTTACAAACACGTAAGATGTACAGACGACTACTGGCTTTCGATATAATATTATCAAAATGTAAGTCCCAGTTACACGGATCAGATTGAAAAGTTACACCCAACAACTTCAGACATGGTTTACGCTCTATAGAAACCAGAGGAGCAGGTAAGGCCTTAGTGGATTTGCCTTTAAGAAGCATCTCCCACGTTTTCTTGAAGTTTAGTTGCATGCGATTAGCAGATGTCCATGCGACGATCGATCGGACCTCCTCAGCTGCTAAATTGCCGTTATTAGCCAGCGATTTTACTGGAATACTTAATGTTAAATCATCAGCATATTTCACAAGTAAATTCTGATTTGGTAGAATGGCCTTAATATCATTGACCATAATAGAAAATAGTATAGGGCCTAAAACTGTCCCCTGAGGGACACCTCTATTGATATTTACATAGTCCGTGACAATGGCATCAACAACAACTCTTTGTTTCCTGTTCTGTAAAAAACTAATAATCCAATTGGTCACGTATGGATTTATATCAAGTGTTTTCAACTTATAGCAGAGGAGGATATCATGAGGGACCGAATCAAAAGCTTTGCTGAAATCAAAAGAGAAGATTCTAACACAATCAAAACCCGACTCAAGCCATTTCAGCCAGGCATATTGACACTTAATTAAAGCCATTGTCGTATTGTGGCCTTTGCGGTATGCAAACTGGTCGAAGCTAATGAAGTTCTTCATATATTGAGATAATTCTTGTCTGTATACAAGACGTTCAAAAACCCTCATTATTACATTAGTCAGCGAAATAGGCCGCAACTGTGTGCAATTTTTAAAGTTGGGCTCTTTAGGCAAGGGAGTTATGTCGGCCAATTTCCAAAGATCAGGCACAATGTGATTTTCCAAAGAACAGTTGAAAATAGACTGCGCTTGGTGACTTAAGTCCCTCAGGGTTATGAAAACGGGAGATTGATATGGCTCCCGCCTCTTTTGCATTCTTATCCTTAAATGGATAGCCTCCATCCTTTTATGAGTATCTTTCCTATGTGTGATACGCGTTCAGGAATTTGAAATCGACGAAGTGACAAGGTTGACTTCGTAAACGTGTGTTTATCATCGGCTTACTTAGGAACTAGATCACTAAAACTTTTTGATCGTTCTTTTCATTTTTAACGATTTAAACTTTGGTTTTAAAGCGTAGTTTACGTGAAATTGCAAGTGATCAGTAGGTTTACATTTAAATGTTACTAAATTAAAATACGCTCAGTGACTTAAGTTTCCCAGACCTTTTAAAAAGTAAGAGGTGAAAGTGACTCACCCTTTCTCTCTCTGTCTTTGCATGCATGGCCTCCTTGTGATTCATACACACTCACCAAATTAGAATGAATAACTTAGCTTTACAGACTCTGCTGACTATATTATCGTAGTTTTTCGGTTATAGGGCGCATTATTTTTCCGAGAAATTCATGTTTTCTGTTAAAAATTACTGCCGAAATTTGGGTGCGTCTTAGAGGTGAATATTTTCGGGAAACAAAGTTTCTTGATGACAGTTGTTATTTCTATTTAAGTTAATAACAAGGACAAGCAATGTTGGTAATTGACTTTTATATATGTGGTTTTTGTTCAATCAAGTGCAAGCTTGCTTTTTTTTGTACGCGTGCGACAATTTTGCGTTTGTTAATTAAACTCGAATCAATACATGATTCTTTCGCTTTGTTTCAAGTTAATTGGAAAAACAGGAAATGGTATTGTAACAAAATAAATTTGATCGCTGTCGTTTATGTAAACTTGACCGAACATTTTTTCTCTTCAAATTACGGTGCATCTTATAACCAAGTATTTCCGTGATATTTTGAGTTTGTCAACATGACACAGTTGAGTTGCCAAGTTGGGGGTGTGCCTTATAGCCGAGTGCGCCTTATAACCGAACAACTACGGTGGTTTCTTTCCTTTAAACCTAGCCGGTCTGCATCTGTTCTAAGCGAAAATTCAGCTCTCTTATGTAGGAGTGTTCTCATTATCTCAGCCCAGGCCTGGATGAATTTTCATTTCGTAATTTCTCAGTTTGCTTTCTTTTCAAACATGTCAGATTTTAAGACAATACGGAAAGTAATTATCTGTGCTAATACACCATAGCAATCTTCATTAACACGAAGTCTTTCAAGTAGCTAACCAAAGTCGATATTGTATACGATCGATATGGATGTTTTTCAAATTGGATACCAACAACTCAAATATTTTTGTAAAATAATATCTTTACTAAAAGTGGGAAGAGATGATTTTCCTGAGAAGGGTAAAGCGTAGCTCATAAGAGCTGTAAAAATGACCATGAAACTAACCTGCCCACAGCCACTTCTTTGACTGATTATATTTTGGAGTGTATGCGCGGTTTTATCCAATTAAATAAGCAAATTTTAATGTTTCTTTAAAGATTTACCGGAAACATCTGAGAAGGGGTTAACAAGTGTACGCGCGGTTTTTAGGCGCGGTTCTATGCGCGGTTTTTACCTAATTAAATGTTAAAATTTTTATGTTACTTTTGAGGGTTTACCGGAAAGGTCTGAGAAGGGACTTATTATCGAGTTGTCGGCCTTTGAATCTCTTTACGGTGGTGAATTTAAAATATCAACTAAGCTGATTAAAATGAAATAATTTTTAATAGCCTCCACCGACGCAGCACCACTATAATTTTTAGGAACTTGCTCCCCTATTCTTCAAACTTTAGTTCAGTTTATAATTATTGCCTCTAAGTAGTCAGTGGCTTCCTCGATATGGCACCCGCCGAAGAATAATACGAAAAAAAATTTCCCTTTCGTTGGTCTATTAGTTCCATTGGAAAAAAACTGACTCAAAACGAAGTTTTCCGTGTTAAACTTCGGCAAGAAATCATTAAATATTATTATCCTTTGTAAAAATTTTTTATCTGATCGTTTTAATTCTTATGAAAATCTTTCATTTGCTGACATGGAAACCTGCTGAATGAGTTGAATGAAAATTAATTTTAAGCCGCTCCGGCCAAGAAAGTACTCAGCCATCGACAGTAAGCGTCCACGAGAACACCACTTTGCCGGCGAATCTTCCCAAAGATGTCAGTAAATCAGGAGTTTTCTCAGGCGCTTGCATCGGGAAAATTCAAGGCTGCACCTTCACGTTCAACATTGCCTGTGAAAAATAAGAAAGCCCAAAGTCCGCGAAGCCCAAGAAAAGAAGAATCATCATCAGCGATGATTCCGATTCTGATTAGCTGACTGAAATTAATCCGCTGTCTTCGGAAAATACTTTCCTTCGGATCCTTTGACTTTTTTCATTGAAGATTTCATCATTGCAGAGTCATTTAGCTTGAATTTGTTTGCCAGAACTGTTGTTTGTTAAAAAATGCGCATGTGATTTGCCCCTACGCGCTCTTAAATTGACAGGTGTTAGAACAATCGGGGGCTTGGATGTACTTTTACATCTGATCGCAATTTCTCACTTTGCTTTCTTTTCAGAGCCTAAGAAGATAGAGGAAGGTAATTATCCGGCTGTGCTAATAAATCATAGAAAGATTAAATATCGGCACAAAGTCTTTTGAGTAGCACACGAAAGCTGAGATTGTACACAGTCCATATGGATTATTTTTTCAGTTTTGTTTTATTTTCACCGGCCGAGAGAAGAAAAAGAGGGAACGTAACTAACTGTGGCAATGGATCATGGAAATCTCTATTATCACACGGCCTTACAAGCTGTGCACTAAACGAGAAACAAAAGTAGGGACGGTTTTATCTAGAAAGATAACGTAGTTACTGTTTGTCAAGGTATTTGTAAAAGTCTCTGTGCATAGCTCTGTTATGGTTCATGTACGTTGACCAAGTTTGATTGGATAACTTGATTCTGGTGGCTCTGCTGCCTATTAATTCCGTCCCCATTCCTTCCTTCATAAAATCAGCGATGGCTTGGATATACTTTTATACCTGATCGCAATTTCTCATTTTCTTTTCTTTTTCAGACCCTCCAAAGTCGATGGAAGGTAATTATCCGGCTGTGCTAATAAATCATATAAATCTTCATTAAAACGAATTCTTTCAAGTAAGAAACGAAAGCCGATGTTGTATATAGTCGACATGGTTATTTTTTAAGTTAGAAACTAACAATCCAATTCTTTTTTTGTAAAATAATACCTATAATGAAAGTGGAAAGGATAATTTTGTTGAGAGGGGTAAATCGTTGCTTGTAAGAGCTGTATAAAGGACCCTCTTGATCTTGTGTTCTTTGACGTATCGGGAATCTTGAATTAAGCCCAAATGATTCAGTAAACAACGATTCAGTTATAGGGTATTATACGAGTTTCTTAATCTCGTCTGACGGGAAAGTATAGAGAAGTAGAGACTGATTATATCAATGGTAATATCTTTCTTGTTCACTTCGCAATTCTGCCGTTCAAACGAGCAACAAAACAGCCAGAGAAGCTGAGTATTTGGCTATTTAAGGGAAAAGGGAAAATGATTCTTGGTGTACCCATTAAAAACAGGTGTGATGAGGAGGCGCAGGTTAACCGACTTACCGAACCTCCTCCCTCTAAGCATTCAGGACCTTCTTAAAGTTTATACACACTCGTAAAGTTGAAATGAATAAGATGACTACGCAGATTCTGATAAGCGTTAACGTCATTTTTACACAAGGTCTGCATACTTCCAATTGGCTAATCAGTGACTAATCAGGGGCTAATCAGTGGCAACGCAGAACGCATTTTTTGTGATCCAAGTTTTTCTCTCTTTTTTAATTGGGTGAAATGAAAGATATGCGGCAGTGAACTCCACAAGTTTCATCTCTTAGGAAAACGTAAGGATTATTTTATTATTCTCGGTCACAGAAGAATGCATTATTACTGATGCATTCCACTAATAATTTTTTCGTAAGGTCATTTAATTCAATCGGTCAGCCAACGAACTCTAACCGTTCCCACGACTCGTGTTTCATGTAAGATCGTAAACATTTGTCCAGCCGTCGATTTCTTCTCAAAAAAATCACTTAATGTCATTTGCTCGTGTTCTGGTTTTCACAGTAACTGCAATCTTTTTTAAAATAAATAGTTAAACGCTAAGTGTTCAATAGCTGCTATTGTTTCTGTCTTAGTAGTCTTCAGTTAAGCGTTTTCATATCAACTTAACGAATTTGATTTATGTGTGTTATTGACAAGCACCTTATTTTAACAATTTCGATTTTCAGGGCACTTAACGAGAAACAAAAGTAAGGATGGTTTTATCTAGAGACATAACGTAGTTACCGTTGGTCTCTTTTAACAACGACCTCTCTTTTTTATACTTTTGCCTTCGGCTTGTGGTTTAACAACTTTAGTCCACGTGGTTTATTGCGCCGGTAATTGTGGTTTAATTCTAAAGTAAACAGTGACGTTTAAGTGTGATTGATATGCTTCATCTTTCTGTTACTTTCAAATTGGCATACAAGTTGGATATAGAAAGTTATCAAGGATTAAAAGTAATTGCGGTTCCTTTCATGCCATTGTACTTTCCCCTTAAAAGTGAAATGAAATTTCCCATAATAGTCTTTTTTTTTTCCGATTGTAGTCGTTTTCAGCAGGACCATGGTAAATCAAAATTTACAATATATATTTTCCAGTATAACGTGTGTATATTTTACAACGAACTTCAAAATATAGGAGTTTCCTTTTTCCCTGACTAGAAAAAAATGCGAGATCAGGGCATGAAACAGGCTCTGTGACAATATTTAAGCGCCTACAAAAGAGGCGCGTCTAGCAGAGTAAACTCTGGCCTGGGTGATTCTTCACTGATGTCTGTTGACTTTTTAGTGCTCACACTGAATTTCCTCTGGGAGGAGCAAATGTCCGATTTTAATTCCGTTTAAAGTTTGTAACTGACATCCCTCGTTGGAAGAATCTCCTAGATACAATTGGATAATTAAAGAACCCTAGTTTTGCACTCTTATCTGGTGGAGTATGTAACCCACCTTTTCTTCGCACCAGTCTTCTAGACGATCAATACTAAAACTATTCATTCTGCCGGAGTGTGTGCCAGCCTCTGTTGGAGACTGGTCCATCCAAGAGGTGTCTGTTCGCATCTCAGATTTCATCTTTAAGACCGCATTTTTCAATGCGCCTTATTAAGCATAGCTATGCTCTTGTTGATGCTATGTTATTTGACTTAAAGTTTAAGTAATTTATCAGTATTAAATCCTCTGTTCAAATAATCACGAATCGCCTATTGAGCGCGAAGGGTTTCAAAAGAATAGCACTGTAGCTTAGTATACCGAATTCTGAACAAGAGGCTATAAATTTAACCCCGGCGACTGAGAGAGAAATCTCGCCGCATTACTCATGCCTGAATGGACTGGTGTAAATTAAATTCCGTAAATGACTAAGCTATTCCATCTCTAATGATCCGTTTAAAGCGTAGCCTTCTCTGACGGTTTCAAGCACTAGCTATTTCGAGCGTCTTAGCGCTTTATTTTCACTTTGTATTATTAGTTGCTGCTGCGTGTGTCTTGTCTCCCTCCAGAAGTAAATAATTGTCATGATGGACACGTCAGATCTCAAATCCTTTCATCAAATAGTGCACTAAATACGATTAGTTTATGGCTACCCCTCATTATTTGAGAGAGAAAACAAGTCCAAAAGTCTTTTACCCTTTTTCCTCCCTTTTTTCACACACTAAATTTGATGTAATTATTTGTTTAAATTCAATGATAAGCGGGAGAGGGGAGAATTGCGGTTGACTTATTGGAGTTGGAAGTAACACAAAGGTAATAGGCTGCGATTGTGAATCATTGTTTATTTTGCAGTTCAGAAGTTTATTCTTTATTGAAAAAAAGCATGGTCATTGTCCCTTTTCCAGGAATAGTTAAATATGACTAGTTTTCTTCGGATTTCAGAAAAAAATTGGTTTTTGCGTTTGACTGGAATGTTTTACTTTTTCCTTAGAAAAACACTTTATAGTTTGATTTTTTTTTCGTGTGTAGCAAGCTCAAGGAACAATACGATGCTGCTACCTGCTTTTGTTTATCTTATTCCTTTTTAACTACCAGCTTTCTTATATTGACGATGTAACATAGTTTACAGTGACGTTGAGAAAGGCGTTTTATCCTACAACGGTGAACAATAACTGAATAAGTAAATGCTGCTCAAAAATATAAAATATGGCTTGTGTATAGGCTATATGGATATTTTACATATCCAAAAATACGTCTTAGGATATCCAACAAGTAAGGAACAAGTAAGGAAGAAAAAAAAAGGGAACGTAACTAACTGTGGCAATGAATCATGAAAATCTCTATTATCACACGGCCTTAAAAGCTGTGCACTAAACGAGAAACAAAAGTAGGGACAATTTTTATCAAGAAAGATAACGTGGTTACCGTTTGACAGTCTAGTTGTAAAAGTCTTTGTACATAGCTCTATAATGGTTCGTGTACGTTCACCAAGTTTAATTGGATAACTTGACTATCTTGACTATGGTGGCTCTGCTGACTATTAACTCCTTCCATTTTCCCTTCCCTCATCAAATCATCGGGAGCTTAGATGTACTTTGATACCCGATCATAATTTCTCATTTTGTTTCCTTTTCAGAGAGAGAAAAGTGGTTTAAAGGTAATTATCTATGCTAGTAAATTATACAAATCTTCATGATCGGCACAAAGTCTTCCAAGTAGCACACGAAAGCTGTGCACTTAAAGAGAAACCAAAAGTAGGGACGGTTTTATCTAGAAAGATAACGTGGTTACCATTTGTCGGTCTATTTGTAAAAGTCGTTATGCATAGCTCTATTATGGTTCATGTACTTTCACTAAGTTTGATTGGAGAACTTGACTCTGGTGGCTCTGCTGTGCTCTGCATAGCTCTATTATGGTTCATGTACTTTCACCAAGTTTGATTGGATAACTTGACTCTGGTAGCTCTGCTGACTATTTATTCCTTCCCTTTTCCCTTCCCTCATAAAATCAGCGGGGACTTGGATATACTTTGATACCCGATCATAATTTCTCATTTTCTTTTCTTTTCAGAGGGAGCGAAGTGGTTGAAAGGTAATTTTCTATAATATTAAACCATGGAAATCTTAATTACGGCACAAAGTCTTCCAAGTAGCACACGAAAGCCGACATTGTACACAGTCCATATATATAATTTTATTTCATATATTTTTTTTGTTTCATTTTCACCGAGGGAGAAAAGAGGGGGAACGTAACTAACTGTGGCAATGAATCATGAAAATCTCTATTATCACACGGCCTTACAAGCTGTGCACTAAACGAGAAAAAAAAGTAGGGACAATTTTTATCAAGAAAGATAACGTGGTTACCGTTTGACAGTCTAGTTGTAAAAGTCTTTGTACATAGCTCTATATTGGTTCATGTACGTTCACCAAGTTTAATTGGATAACTTGACTATCTTGACTATGGCGGCTCTGCTGACTATTAATTCCTTTCCCTTCTCCTTCCCTAATAACATCATCAGGGGCTTGGATGTACTTTGATACCCGATCATAATTTCTCATTTTGTTTTCTTTTCAGAGAGAGAGAAGAGGTTGGAAGGTAATTATCTATGCTAGTAAATTATAGAAATCCTCATGATCGGCACAAAGTCTTCCAAGTAGCACACGAAAGCTGTGCACTTAAAGAGAAACCAAAAGTAGGGACGGTTTTATCTAGAAAGATAATGTGGTTACCGTTTGTCAGTCTATTTGTAAAAGTCTTTATGCATAGCTCTATTGTGGTTCATGTACTTTCACCAAGTTTGATTGGATAACTTGACTCTGGTGGCTCTGCTGTGCTCTACATAGCTCTATTATGGTTCATGTACTTTCACCAAGTTTGATTGGATAACTTGACTCTGGTGGCTCTGCTGACTATTAATTCCTTCCCTTTTCCCTTCCCTCATAAAATCAGCGGTGGCTTGGATATACTTTGATACCCGATCATAATTTCTCATTTTCTTTTCTTTTCAGAGAGAGAGAAGTGGTTGAAAGGTAATTATCTATACTATTAAATCATGGAAATCTTCATTACGGCACAAAGTCTTCCAAGTAGCACACGAAAGCCGACACTGTACACAGTCCATATGGATAATTTATATTTCATTTATTTTTTTGTTTCATTTTCACCTAGGGTAAAAAGAGGGGAATGTAATTAACTGTGGCAATGGATCATGAAAATCTCCATTATCACACGGCCTTACAAGCTGTGGACTTAACTAGAAACAAAAGCAGGGACAGTTTCATCTAGAAAGATAACGTGTTCACCGTTTGTCAGTCTATTTGTAAAAGTCTTCATGCAAAGCTCTATTATGGTTCATGTAACTTCACCAAGTCTGATTGGATAACTTGACAATGGTGGCTTTGCTGACTATTAATTCATTCCCTTTTCCCTCCCCTCATAAAATCAGCGGGGGCTTGGATGTACTTTGATACCCGATCATAATTTCCCATTTTCTTTTCTTTCAGTGAGAGAGAAGAGGTCGGAAGGTAATTATCTATGCTAGTAAATCATGGAAATCTTCATTATCGGCACAAAGTCTTCCGAGTAGCACACAGAAGATATATGTTGTTGTTATGAAAGCAATATGTCGATTGCGTGACCAAAGAGTTAAGGAGCATTCCTGCCTTTGAAATTACTCAAAATCGTGCAGGAGAACTTTTTCAGAAACAAATAACAAATTTATACTCAGTTTTGTTAAATTACTTTGTCTTTTATCATTTGAAGTTTGTTTCTGCAGAGATATTCTGCCATCGTTCTGTCTAGTACGATTATGCACCAGTGCCAGCAACGGTATACCATTAAATACATTGCTGGTCTCTCGCATACGAATCTTAAGTTTCTGCCCCTTCGTTGACTTGCTTACCCGTGCCTTTTAACTAGCCTAAGGTAAACGAAAATCCACAAAATGTTAACTTGCAGAGACCTTTACAGGAGTTAAGTTAGGGCTTGCATGACCTAATATGCATGATTGCGGTACGAGCCGTCGTGCTCGTGACAGAAGAATTTTGACCTACGAGTGGGGGCGGTCGACGTCATTTAAATAGGCACAAATACGAGGAAAAGAGACAGTGAGTTTGGGTATCCATTTAGCTCTGAGTTTTCCTCAATTTATACTCATGTTATTTTTTTTTCTGCATGAGTAAAACTATGATGTTTGTTGACTTTTCTATTTAAAAGCGAGACAATTAAATTAACAAAATCCATTCGATTTTTCTCACGTGAAACTAAGAAAAAGAATAATTTCCCGCCCCCTTTGGATCGGAAGTCTCGCTTGTGAATGAAACGGAAGCTTCTTACTCATTTAAGTTTATAGTTGGAAGTGCTTGCTCGTACGGCCGACGGGACAGGAGTAAATTATTTGAGGTGGATAGATACAATTGGATAATTAAAGAAACCTAGTTTTGCACTCTTATCTGGTGGAATATGTAACCTACTTTTTCTTCGCACTAGTCTTCTAGACGATGAACACTAAAACTTTTCATCCAGCCAGAGTATGTGCCAGCCTCTGTTGGAGAATGGTTCATCCAAGAGGTTTCTGTTCGCAACTTGGATTTCATCTTTGAGACCGTATTTTTCAATGCGTTTTTTTTAAGCATAGCTATGCTCTTGTTAATGCGATGTTATGTGACTAAAAGTTTGAGTAATTTATCGTTAGTAAATCCTCTGTTCAAATAATCACGAATCAACCATCGAGCGCGAAGGGTTTCAAAAGAATAGCACTGTAGCTTGGTATACCGAATTCAAAGCAAGATGTTATAAATTTAACCCTGGTGACTGGGAGAGATATCTCGCCACATTACCCATGCCTGAATCGACTGATGTAAATTAAATTCCGCACACGACTAGGCTATTCCATCTTGAATGATCCGTTAAAAGTGTGACTTTCTCTGACGGTTTCTAGCGCTAACTATTTCGAGCGTCTTGGCGCTTTATTTTCACGTTGTATTATTAGTTTTTGCCACGAGCGTCTCCCCCAGAAGTAAATAAATGTGATGATGGACATGTCAGTGTGTCAACCTTACATCAAATTATGCATTAAATATGATACGTTTATGGCAACTCCTCATTATTTGAGAGAGACCAGAAGGCAAAAGTCTTTTACCCTTCTTCCTTTCTCTTTTTTCACATATTAAATTTGATATAATTATTTGTTTAAACTTAATGAGAAGCGGGGGAAGGGAGAATTGCGGTTGACTTCTTGGAGTTGGAAGTTGAAATCATTGTTTATTTTGCAGTTCAGAAGTTTATTCGTTACTGAAAAAAAACATGCTCATTGTCCCCTTCTCGGGAATAGTTTAATATAAATAATTTTCTTCGGATTTCAGAAAACAATCAGTTTTTGCGTTTGACTGGAATGTTTTACTTTTTACTGAGAAAAAAACTTTGTAGTTTGATTTTTTTTTGGTAGCGAGTATGTGAATTGTTTTGACTTTTTTCACTCTTAGGCTTTCAGAACACAGATTTATTTCAGTTGTTTCCCACATTTTATTGCTCGAGCCTTTCTTCCCTAGAAGAAACAATATGATGCTGCTACCTGCTTTTGTTTATCTTATTCCTTTTTGACTGCCAACTTCCTTATGTTGACGATGTAACATAGTTTACAGTGACGTTGAGAATGGCGTTTTATCCTACAACAGTGAACGACAAATGAATAAGTAAATGCTGCTCAAAAATAGCAATAGGGCGTGTGTTTAGGCTCATATAAATATTTTACATCTCCAAAAATATGTGTTAGGATATCCAAATAGGTGGATATCCAAACGTGTAAGGGAGAAAAAAAAGAGGGAACGTAACTAACTGTGGCAAAGGATCATGGAAATCTCTATTATCACACGGCCTTACAACCTGTGCACTTAACGAGAAACAAAAGTAGGGACAGTTTTATCTAGAAAGATAACGTGGTTACCGTTTGTCGTTCTGTGTTGTAAAATTCTTTATGCATAGCTCTATTATGGTTCATGTACTTTCACCAAGTTTGATCGCATAACTTGACTATGGTGGCTCTGCCCACTATTAACTCCTTCCCTTTTCCCTTCCCTCATAAAATCAGAGGGGGCTTGGATGTACTTTGATACCCGATCATAATATCTCATTTTCTTTTCTTTTCAGAGAGAGAGAAGTGGTTGGAAGGTAATTATCTATGCTAGTAAATCATGGAAATCTTTATTATCGGCACAAAGTCTATCAAGTAAATCATGGAAATCTTTATTTTCGGCACAAAGTCTTTCAAGTAGGACACGGAAGCCGAGATTGTACACAATCCATACGGATTATTTTTTTTCAATTTTCTTTTATTTTCACCGAGGGAGAAAAAAGAGGGAACGTAACTAACTGTGGCAATGGATCAAGAAAATTTCTATTATCACACGGCCTTACAACCTGTGCACTTAACGAGAAACAAAAATAAGGACAGTTTTATCTAGAAAGATGATGTGGTTACTGTTTGTCATTCTATGTTGCAAATTCTTTATGCATAGCTCTATTATGGTTCATGTACTTTTGCCAAGTTTGATCGCATAACTTGACTATGGTGGCTCTGCCCACTATTAACTCCTTCCCTTTTCCCTTCCCTCATAAAATCAGAGGGGGCTTGGATGTACTTTGATACCCGATCATAATATCTCATTTTCTTTTCTTTTCATTGACAGAGAAGTGGTTGGAAGGTAATTATCTATGCTAGTAAATCATGGAAATCTTTATTATCGGCACAAAGTCTATCAAGTAAATCATGGAAATCTTTATTTTCGGCACAAAGTCTTTCAAGTAGGACACGGAAGCCGAGATTGTACACAATCCATACGGATTATTTTTTTTCAATTTTCTTTTATTTTCACCGAGGGAGAAAAAAGAGGGAACGTAACTAACTGTGGCAATGGATCAAGAAAATCTCTATTATCACACGGCCTTACAACCTGTGCACTTAACGAGAAACAAAAATAGGGACAGTTTTATCTAGAAAGATAATGTGGTTACTGTTTGTCATTCTATGTTGCAAATTCTTTATGCATAGCTCTATTATGGTTCATGTACTTTCACCAGGTTTGATCGCATAACTTGACTATGGTGGCTCTGCCCACTATTAACTCCTTCCCTTTTCCCTTCCCTCATAAAATCAGAGGGGGCTTGGATGTACTTTGATACCCGATCATAATATCTCATTTTCTTTTCTTTTCAGAGAGAGAGAAGTGGTTGGAAGGTAATTATCTATGCTAGTAAATCATGGAAATCTTTATTATCGGCACAAAGTCTATCAAGTAAATCATGGAAATCTTTATTTTCGGCACAAATTCTTTCAAGTAGGACACGGAAGCCGAGATTGTACACAATCCATACGGATTATTTTTTTTCAATTTTCTTTTATTTTCACCGAGGGAGAAAAAAGAGGGAACGTAACTAACTGTGGCAATGGATCAAGAAAATCTCTATTATCACACGGCCTTACAACCTGTGCACTTAACGAGAAACAAAAATAGGGACAGTTTTATCTAGAAAGATGATGTGGTTACTGTTTGTCATTCTATGTTGCAAATTCTTTATGCATAGCTCTATTATGGTTCATGTACTTTCGCCAAGTTTGATCGCATAACTTGACTATGGTGGCTCTGCCCACTATTAACTCCTTCCCTTTTCCCTTCCCTCATAAAATCAGAGGGGGCTTGGATGTACTTTGATACCCGATCATAATATCTCATTTTCTTTTCTTTTCATTGACAGAGAAGTGGTTGGAAGGTAATTATCTATGCTAGTAAATCATGGAAATCTTTATTATCGGCACAAAGTCTATCAAGTAAATCATGGAAATCTTTATTTTCGGCACAAAGTCTTTCAAGTAGGACACGGAAGCCGAGATTGTACACAATCCATACGGATTATTTTTTTTCAATTTTCTTTTATTTTCACCGAGGGAGAAAAAAGAGGGAACGTAACTAACTGTGGCAATGGATCAAGAAAATCTCTATTATCACACGGCCTTACAACCTGTGCACTTAACGAGAAACAAAAATAGGGACAGTTTTATCTAGAAAGATGATGTGGTTACTGTTTGTCATTCTATGTTGCAAATTCTTTATGCATAGCTCTATTATGGTTCATGTACTTTCACCAAGTTTGATCGCATAACTTGACTATGGTGGCTCTGCCCACTATTAACTCCTTCCCTTTTCCCTTCCCTCATAAAATCAGAGGGGGCTTGGATGTACTTTGATACCCGATCATAATATCTCATTTTCTTTTCTTTTCAGAGAGAGAGAAGTGGTTGGAAGGTAATTATCTATGCTAGTAAATCATGGAAATCTTTATTATCGGCACAAAGTCTATCAAGTAAATCATGGAAATCTTTATTTTCGGCACAAATTCTTTCAAGTAGGACACGGAAGCCGAGATTGTACACAATCCATACGGATTATTTTTTTTCAATTTTCTTTTATTTTCACCGAGGGAGAAAAAAGAGGGAACGTAACTAACTGTGGCAATGGATCAAGAAAATCTCTATTATCACACGGCCTTACAACCTGTGCACTTAACGAGAAACAAAAATAGGGACAGTTTTATCTAGAAAGATGATGTGGTTACTGTTTGTCATTCTATGTTGCAAATTCTTTATGCATAGCTCTATTATGGTTCATGTACTTTCGCCAAGTTTGATCGCATAACTTGACTATGGTGGCTCTGCCCACTATTAACTCCTTCCCTTTTCCCTTCCCTCATAAAATCAGAGGGGGCTTGGATGTACTTTGATACCCGATCATAATATCTCATTTTCTTTTCTTTTCATTGACAGAGACGTGGTTGGAAGGTAATTATCTATGCTAGTAAATCATGGAAATCTTTATTATCGGCACAAAGTCTATCAAGTAAATCATGGAAATCTTTATTTTCGGCACAAAGTCTTTCAAGTAGGACACGGAAGCCGAGATTGTACACAATCCATACGGATTATTTTTTTTCAATTTTCTTTTATTTTCACCGAGGGAGAAAAAAGAGGGAACGTAACTAACTGTGGCAATGGATCAAGAAAATCTCTATTATCACACGGCCTTACAACCTGTGCACTTAACGAGAAACAAAAATAGGGACAGTTTTATCTAGAAAGATAATGTGGTTACTGTTTGTCATTCTATGTTGCAAATTCTTTATGCATAGCTCTATTATGGTTCATGTACTTTCACCAAGTTTGATCGCATAACTTGACTATGGTGGCTCTGCCCACTATTAACTCCTTCCCTTTTCCCTTCCCTCATAAAATCAGAGGGGGCTTGGATGTACTTTGATACCCGATCATAATATCTCATTTTCTTTTCTTTTCAGTGAGAGAGAAGTGGTTGGAAGGTAATTATCTATGCTAGTAAATCATGGAAATCTTTATTATTGGCACAAAGTCTATCAAGTAAATCATGGAAATCTTTATTTTCGGCACAAAGTCTTTCAAGTAGGACACGGAAGCCGAGATTGTACACAATCCATACGGATTATTTTTTTTCAATTTTCTTTTATTTTCACCGAGGGAGAAAAAAGAGGGAACGTAACTAACTGTGGCAATGGATCAAGAAAATCTCTATTATCACACGGCCTTACAACCTGTGCACTTAACGAGAAACAAAAATAGGGACAGTTTTATCTAGAAAGATAATGTGGTTACTGTTTGTCATTCTATGTTGCAAATTCTTTATGCATAGCTCTATTATGGTTCATGTACTTTCACCAAGTTTGATCGCATAACTTGACTATGGTGGCTCTGCCCACTATCAACTCCTTCCCTTTTCCCTTCCCTCATAAAATCAGAGGGGGCTTGGATGTACTTTGATACCCGATCATAATGTCTCATTTTGTTTTCATTTCAGAGAGAGAGAAGAGGTTGGAAGGTAATTATCTATGCTAGTGAATCATAGAAATCATCCTGAAAAAGTCTTTCAAGCAGCACACAAAAGCCGAGATTGTACACAATCCATATGGATTACTTTTTCAGTTTTTCTTTTATTTTCACCGAGGGAGAAAAAAAGAGGGAACGTAACTAACTGTGGCAATGGATCATGAAAATCTCTATTATCACACGGCCTTACAAGCTGTGCACTAAACGAGAAACAAAAGTAGGGACAGTTTTATCCAGAAAGATAACGTGGTTACCGTTTGTCAGTCTATTTGTAAATTGACTCTTGGTGGCTCTGCTGACTATTAATTCCTTCTCTTTCTCTCTTCCCTCATAAAACCAGCGGGGGTTTGGATGTACTTTGATACCGATCATACTTTTTCATTTTCTTTCCTTTTCAGGGAAAATGAATTTCCAATAACGAAAGCCGAGATTGTACACAGTCCATATGGATTCCCTTTTTAGTTTTGTTTTATTTTCACTTTGATACCCAATCATAATTTCTCATTTTGTTTCCTTTTCAGAGACAGAGAGGAGGAAGCTAGGTAATTATCTATGCTAGTAAATCATACAAATCTTCATGATCGGCACAAAGTCTTCCAAGTAGCACACGAAAGCTGAGATTGTACACAGTCCATATGGATTATTTTTTCAGTGTTCTTTTATTTTCACCGAGGGAGAAAAAAAAGGGAATGTAAGTAACTGTGGCAATCGATCATGAAATGCTCTATGATCACACGGCCTTACAAGCTGTGCACTTAAATAAATAAAAAAGTAAGGACAGTTTTATTTAGAGAGATAACGTGGTTACCGTTTGTCAGTCTATTTGTAAAAGTTTTTATCCAAAGCTCTATTATGTTTCATGTACTTTCACCAAGTTTGATTGGATAACTTGACTATGGTGGCCCTGCTGACTATTAACTCCTTCCCTTTTCCCTTTCCTCGTCTAATCATCGGGAACTTGGATATACTTTGATACCCAATCATAATTTCTCATTTTGTTTCCTTTTCAGAGACAGAGAGGAGGAAGCTAGGTAATTATCTATGCTAGTAAATCATACAAATCTTCATGATCGGCACAAAGTCTTCCAAGTAGCACACGAAAGCTGAGATTGTACACAGTCTATATGGATTATTTTTTCAGTTTTGTTTTATTTTCATCGAGGGAGAAAAAAATAAGGGAATGTGACTAGTTGTGACAATCGATCATGAAAAGCTCTATGTTCACCCGGCCTTACAAGCTGTGCACTTAAATAAATACAAAAGTAGGGACAGTTTTATCTAGAACGATAACGTGCTTACCGTTTGTCAGTCTTTTTGTAGGGGGCTTGGATATACTTCGATACCTGATCGTAATTTCTCTTTTTTTTTCTTTTCAGAAACTTTAAAGTTGATGCCAGGTAATGTTTCGGCTATTCCAATAAGTCATAGAGATTTTCATTGACACGAAGTCTTTCAAGAAAGAAACGAACGTCGATATTTTATATAGTCGATATAGTTATTTTTTAAATTAGACACCGAAAATTTAATTTTTTTAGTGAGATAATACCTATGATAAAATTGGAAGGGATGATTTTGTTAAACGGGTAAATCGTAGCTTTTAATTATGGCTCTAGTATGGTTCATCTACTTTCATCAAGTTTGATTGGATAACTTGACTATGGTGGCTCTGCTGACTATTAATTCCTTCGCTTTTCCCTTCCCTCATCAAAACATCGGGGGCTTGGAAGTACTTTGATACCCGATCATCACGTGGTTATCGTTTGTCCGTCTATTTGTAAAAGTCTTTATCCAAAGCTTTATTATGGTTCATGTACTTTCACCAAGTTTGATTGGATAACTTGACTATAGTGGCTCCGTTGACTATTAACTTGTTCCCTTTCCCCTTTCCTCGTCAAATCATCGGATTATTATTTTAGTTTTCTTTTATTTTCACCGAGGGAGGAAAAAAAAGGAATATAACTAACTGTGGCAATCGATCATGAAAAGCTCTATGTTCACACGGCCTTACAAGCTGTGCACTTAAATAGATACAAAAGTAGGGACAGTTTTATCTAGAAAGATAATGTGGTTACCGTTTGTCAGTCTATTTGAAAAAGTCTTTATCCAAAGCTCTATTATGTTTCATGTACTTTCACCAAGTTTGATTGGATAACTTGACTATGGTGGCTCCGCTGACTATTAACTTGTTCCCTTTTCCCTTTCGTCGTCAAATCATCTGATTATTATTTTAGTTTTCTTTTATTTTCACCGAGGGAGGAAAAAAAAGTGAATATAACTAACTATGGCAATCGATCATGAAAAGCTCTATGTTCACCCGGCCTTAAAAGCTGTGCACGTAAAAAAAAAAAAAAGTAGGAACAGTTTTATCTAGAAAGATAACGTGGTTACCGTTTGTCAGTCTATTTGTAAAAGTCCAAAGTTGTATTATGTTTCATGTCCTTTCACCGAGTTTGAATGGATAACTTGACTACGGTGGCTCTTCCTTCCCTTTTCCCTTTCCTCACCAAATCATCGGGAACTTGGATATACTTTGATACCCAATCCTTATTTTTTTATTTTGTTTCCTTTTCAGAGGAAGTGTGGAGTTTGCCAGGTAATTATCAATGCTAGAAAATCACAAAGTCTTCCAAGTAGCACACGAAAGCTGTGCACTTAAAGAGAAACCAAAAGTAGGGACGGTTTTATCTAGAAAGATAACGTGGTTACCATTTGTCGGTCTATTTGTAAAAGTCGTTATGCATAGCTCTATTATGGTTCATATACTTTCACTAAGTTTGATTGGAGAACTTGACTCTGGTGGCTCTGCTGTGCTCTGCATAGCTCTATTATGGTTCATGTACTTTCACCAAGTTTGATTGGATAACTTGACTCTGGTAGCTCTGCTGACTATTTATTCCTTCCCTTTTCCCTTCCCTCATAAAATCAGCGGGGACTTGGATATACTTTGATATCCGATCATAATTTCTCATTTTCTTTTCTTTTCAGAGGGAGCGAAGTGGTTGAAAGGTAATTTTCTATAATATTAAACCATGGAAATCTTCATGATCGGCACAAAGTCTTCCAAGTAGCACTCAAAAGCCGAGATTTTACACAATCCATATGGATTACAGTTTTCTTTTATTTTCATCGAGGGAGACAAAGGGGGGGATGTAACTAAGTGTCGCCATGGATCATGAAAATCTCTATGATCACACGGCCTTACAAGCTATGCACTCAACTAAAAACAAAAGTAGGGACAGTTTTATCTAGAGAGATAACGTGGTTACCGTTTGTCAGTCTATTTGTAAAAGTCTCTATGCATAGCTCTATTATGGTTCATGTACTTTCACCAAGTTTGATTGGATAACTTGACTATGGTGGCTCTGCTGACTATTAATTCCTTCCCTTTTCCCTTCCCTCATCAAATCATCGGGAACTTGGATATACTTTGATACCCAATCATAAATTCTCATTTTGTTACCTTGTCAGTGGCAGAGATAAGTATGCAAGGTAATTATCTATGCTAGTAAATCATAGAAATCTTCATGATCGGCACAAAGTCTTCCAAGTAGCACACGAAAACCGAGATTGTACACAATCCATATGGATTATTTTTGCAGTTTTGTTTTATTTTCATCGAGGGAAAAAAAAGAGGGAACGTAACTAACTGTGGCAATGGATCATGAAAATCTCTATTATCACGCAGCTTTACAAGCTGTGCTCTAAACGAGAAACAAAAGTAGTATAAAAGTCTCTATGCATAGCTCTACTATGGGTCATGTACGTTCACCAAGTTTGATTGGATTACTTGCCTTTGGTGGCTCTGCTGACTATTTATTCTTTCCCTTTTCCTTTTCCTCATCAAATCATCGGTGGCTTGGAATTACTTTGATACCCGATCATAATTTCTGATTTTGCTTCCTTTTCAGAGAGAGAGAAGAGGTTGAAAGGTAATTATCTATGCTGGTAAATCACACAAATCTTCATTATCGGCACAAAATCTTCCAAGTAGCACACGAAAGCCGAGATTGTACACAGTCCATATGGATTTTTTTTCAGTTTTGTTTTATTTTCACCGAGGAGGAAAAAAAAGGGCATGTCACTATCTGTGGCAATGGATCATAAAATATCTCTATGATCACAGCCTTACAAGCTGTGCACCTAACGAGAAACAAAAGTAAAGACGGTTTTATCTAGAAATATAACGTGATTGTCATTTGTCAGTCTATTTGTAAAAGTCTTTATGCATAGCTCTATTATGTTTCATGTAATTTCACCAACTTTGATTAGATAACCTGACTATGGTGGCTCTGCTGACTATTAATTTATTCCCTTTTCCCTTCCCTCATAAAATCAGCGGGGGCTTGGATATACTTTTATAGCTGATCGTAATTTCTCACTTTTTTTTCTTTTCAGACCCTTCAAAGTTGATCCCAGGTAATTATTCAGCTGTGCCAATAAATCAAAGAAATCTTCATTAACAGGAAGTCTTTTAAGAAAGAAAAAAAAGCCAAAATTATATATAGTTGATATGATAATTTTTTTAATTAGATACCGACAATTTAGTTTTTTTAGTAAAATAATACCTATAAAAAAAGTGGAAGGGACGATTTTCTTCAAAAGGTAAATCGTAGCTTTTATCATGGCTCTATTATGGTTCATGTACTTTTACCAAGTTTGATTGGATAACTTGACTATGGTGGCTCTGCTGACTTTTAACTCCTTCCCTTTTCCATTTCCTCGTCAAATCATCGGGAACTTGAAAGTACTTTGATACCCAATAATAATTTCTCATTTTGTTACCTTTTCAGAGGCAGAGAGGAGGAGGCTAGGTAATTATCTACGCTAGTAAACGATACAAATCTTCATGATCGGCACAAAGTCTTCCAAATAGCACACGAAAGCTGAGATTGTACACAGTCCATATGGATTATTTTTTCAGTGTTCTTTTATTTTCACCGAGGGAGGAAAAAAGGGAATGTAACGACCTGTGGCAATCGATCATGAAAAGCTCTATCGTCACACGGCCTTACAAGCTGAACATTTATATAAATACATAAGTAGGGTCAGTTTTATTTGGAGAGATAACGTGGTTACCGTTTGTCAGTCTATTTGTAAAAGGTTTTTTTTCAAAGCTGTATTATGTTTCATTTACTTTCGCCAAGTTTGATCGGAGAACTTGACTATGGCGGCTCTGCTGACTATTAACTTGTTCCCTTTTCCCTTTCCTCGTCAAATCATCGGAAACTTGGATATACTTTGATACCCAATCATAATTTCTCATTTTGTTTTCTTTTTAGAGACAGAGATGAGGAAGCTAGGTAATTATCTATGCTAGTAAATCATACAAATCTTCATGATCGGCACAAAGTCTTCCAAGTGGCACACAAAAGCCGAGATTTTACACAATCCATATGGATTACAGTTTTTTTTTTTATTTTCATCGAGGGACGTAACTAACTGTGGCAATGGATCATGAAAATCTCTATTATCACACGGCCTTACAAGCTGTGCACTTAACTAGAAACAAAAGTAGGGACAGTTTTGTCTAGAGAGATAGCGTGGTTACCGTTTGTCAGTCTATTTGTAAAAGTCTTCATTCAAAGCTCTATTATGATTCATGGTAGCACACAAAAGCTGAGATTGTACACAGTCGATATGGATTATTTTTTCAGTGTTCTTTTATTTTCATCTAGGGAGAAAAAAAGGGAATGTCAGTTACTGTGGCAATCGATCATGAAAATCTCTATGATCACACGGCCTTACAAGCTGTGCACATATATAAATAAAAAAAGTAGGAGCAGTTTTATTTAGAGAGATAACGTGGTTACTGTTTGTCAGTCTATTTGTAAAAGTCTTTATCACCAAGTTTGATTTGATAACTTGACAATGGTGGCTCTGGTGAATATTAACTTGTTCCCTTTCCCTTTCCTCATCAAATCATCGGGAACTTGGATATACTTTGATACCCAATCATAATTTCTCATTTTGTTTCCTTTTCAGGGAGAGAGGAGAGGTTGCAAGGTAATTATCTATGCTATTAAATCATACAAATCTTCATGATCAGCACAAGGTCTTCCAAGTAGCACACGAAGGCTGTGATGGTACACAATCCATATGGATTATTTTTTCAGTTTTGCTTTATTTTCAGGGAGAAAAAAAAGGGAAGGTAATTAACTGTGGCAATGAATAATGAAAATCTCTATTATCATGCAACCCTACAAGTTGTGCACTAAACGAGAAACTAAAGTAGGGACGGTTTTATCTAGAAAGATAACGTAATTACCGTTGTCTGTCTATTTGTATGCATAGCTCTACTACGGGTCATGTACGTTCACCAAGTTTGATTGGATAACTTGACTATGGTGTCTCTGCTGACTATTAATTCCTCCATTTTCCCTTCCCTCATAAAATCAGCGGGGGCTTGAATGTGTTTGTAAACTCTATCATAATTAGTCTTTTTTTTCTTTAGGGGCAGGGAAGACACCAGAAGGTAATTTATTTGTTATTTATGATAATGAATCTTAGTAACTTTCATTTTGACAGTGTTTCAATGGTCACGCTTTGTATGTATGTATGTTGGATAAAAGCAAATATACTCAATAATACGTTGAGTTTTATTTTCTTTATTTTATCATAGCGCATTCTATGCACTTAAACTGATTTAAGCATCGTATTATAAATTTACAACAATGGCAACAACGTTCACCAAGTTTGATTGGATACTGAACTTAACTGGGGTGGCTTTGCTGACTATTAATTCCGTTCCTTTCCCTTGCCTTATAAAATCAGCGGTGGCTTGGATGTACTTTTATACCTGATCGTAATATCTCATGTTCTTTTCTATTCAGACCCTTCAAAGTTGATGGAAGGTAATTATCTGGCAGTGCTAATAAATCATAGAAATCTTCATTAACACGAAGTCTTTCAAGTAAGGAACGAAAGCCGATATTACCAAGGGGTAAATCGTAGCTTGTAAGAGGTGTAAAGGACCTTCTTCATCTTGTGTACTTTAAAAAATCTGGAATCTTGAATGGAGCTCGAATGATTCAGTAAACAATGATTCATTTATAGGGTATTGTATGACTTTATTAATCTCGTCTGACAGAAACGTATAAAGAACTATACTGACAGTCTCCATAGTATTATCTTTCTTGTTCATCGCGCGATTCTACCGTTCAAATGACCAACAAAATAGCCAAAGAAGCTGAGTATCTGTTCGTCAATGTTTTGGTGTGGCTATTTAAAGGAAAAGGGAAAAATGTTTCTAGGTGCACCCATTGAAAACGGGTGTAATGAAGAGGTTCGGCTTAACAACTTTACCGAACCTCCTCCCTCTTTGCATTCATGGCCTTCTTAAGTTTATACACACTCGTGAAGTTGAAATGAAGAAGATGACTGCGCAGATTCTGATAAGCGTTAACGTCCTTTTACACAACGTCTGCTTACTTCCAATTGGCTAATCAGTGGCTAATCAGAGGCAATGCAGAACACATTTTTGTGATCCAAGTTTTTCTCTCTTTTTAACTGGGTGAAACTAAAGACATGCGGCAGTGAATTACACAAGTTTTATTTATAGGGAAAACCTAAGGATTATGTCATTATTCTCGTCTACAGACGTGTGCATTGTTACGGATGCATTCCACTTATAATGTTCACATAAGGTAATTTAATTCAATCGGTCAGGCAACGAACTCTAACCGTTCCCACCAATCGTGTTTCATGTCAAATCGTAAACTTTTGTCGAGCCGTCGATTTCTTCTCAAAAAATCACTAAAAGTCTTTTGCTTATGTTCTGGCGGGTCAATGCTTGGAAAAAAAAATGCATTCTTCAGCCACCATGATCTGTAGGTTCTCTATATCATTTCATTAAGGGATTGAGATGATTATGCAAACCTTATCGTAATTAGTCATTTTTTTTATAACAGAGGCGAGTAAGGGTCAAGAAGGTAAATTATTTGTTATCTATGATAATGAATCTTAGTAACTTTTATTTTGACAGTGTTTCAATATTCACTCATTTCACTCATTTCACTATATTGGATAAGTATGTATGAACCTTTGATAATAGCATATATACTAAATAATGCTATGCACGCATATAAATTTTTTCGGAATTTCTAAACATTCACATAACTCAGACAGATCTTTCTTCGCAAATCTAAGCTCGGTACAGTCCACATCGCTCCACTCGTCTACACTGAATCTGGGGAATTTCCAGTATAAGAAAATAGGTTTTGAAGAATAGGCATCGTATAAAAGAACAATTCGTTATCGTAAGAGGCCGGCTGTTAACAAAGCATCGCGGACGGAGCTTTAACCATCACTTGCCATGATCTATGATATGGAAAGCCACCAAGGAGTCGTAATACAGAGATCACGAAAGCCGTTCTCACGAAAACAAAAGCGTATTTAATGGGCTCGATTCTGCAGAAAGTAAAACTAAAACTACCTTCCCAAATTTTGTTTAAGTCAAAGTAGAATTATAAAATTCGCCTCATTTGGTATCCAAACCACGTCGTGCGGAGTAAATCTTGCTGAAGTCATCCATGTTGACGCTTGACATGTAGTGCATAGTAACATTCATTTTTTTTCCCTAAATTGTAGTTGTTTAACTTTAAAATTAGGACAAGAATTTTAACAAGAGTCAATTAATATTCTAGAACAAGAAGTTACAGCGTGTTTTCCTTGCTAAATCACCTTTTAACACAACTTGACGGCGTTCTCAACCCAGTTTGTTATCAGTATTTTTCCTGCGTACGACGTTCTGAAATGACGTTCCCGTTCTCTTGCTAAACCAATCCAAAGTCTCATTGCGAGGTCAAGATGTTAACACTCTGGCCTTCTATCTCGAAATGATTCCCAACTGCATATTTTGCGATGAATAGTCCTTGCATTTATTTCTGTTAACTTTTATTTAAGTATGAAGACACACTTGGCGTTAGGAGAATGCTTTTGTTTCTTGGATAAATGAGTCTTTCACTATAACAACACCTCGCGGGGTCAATCCTTGGGAAAAAAACATATGCATTCCTCAGCCACCATGATCTGTAAGTTCTCTATATCATTTCATTAAGAGATTGAGATGATTTTGCAAACCTTATCCTAATTACTCATTTTGTCTTTATTCTAGAGAAGAGTGAGAGTCAAGAAAGTAATTTATTTGTTAACTGTGATAATGAATCTTAATAACCCTCATTTTTACACTGTTTCAATATTCACTCATTTCACGCAACATTGGATATGTATGTATGTATGTTTGGTAATAGCATATATACTAAATAATGCTATGCACGCATATAAATTTTTTCGGAATTTCTAAACATTCACATAACTCAGACAGATCTTTCTCCGCAAATCTAAGCTCGGTACAGTCCACATCGCTCCACTCGTCTACACTGAATCTGGGGAATTTCCAGTATAAGAAAATAGGTTTTGATGAATAGGCGTCGTATAAAAGAAAATTCATCATCGTCAATAATATTAAAGAGGCCGGCTGTTAACAAAGCATCGCGGACGGAGCTTTAACCATCACTTGCCATGATCTATGATATGGAAAGCCACCAAGGAGTCGTAATACAGAGATCACGAAAGCCGTTCTCACGAAAACAAAAGCGTATTTAATGGGCTCGATTCTGCAGAAAATAGAACTAAAACTACCTTCCCAAATTTTGCTTAAGTCAAAGTAGAATTATAAAATTCACTTCATTTGGTATCCAAACCACGTGGTACGGAGTAAATCTTGCCGACGTCATCCACGTTGACGGTTGACACGTAGTGTACAGTAACATTCATTTCTTTGCCCTAAATTGTAGCTGATTAACTTTAAAATTAAGACGAGAATTTTAAGAGTCAATTGATATTCTAGAAAAAGACGTTACAGCACGTTTTCCTTGCTAAATCACCTATTCACTCAACGTTACGGCGTTCTCGACCCAGTTTGTTATCAGTATTTTTGCTGCGCGTGCCGTTCTGAAATGACGTTCCCGTTCTCTTGCTAGCCCTCTATCGCGGAATGGTTCTCAACAGCATGTTCTTGAGTTACAATATATACAATAAAAAATAACAAATAACTGATTCTGTAACTGAATTTAATTAAGCGCCTAGCTGGTTACAATATTCTAGTCACCAAATATGTAAAAATCCCTGCGGGCTGGCTTCTATTTTTAGCTGAGGAAATATAGGAATAAGCTCAAAAATCTGGTTTTGTACATTTTAGCTATGTTTACATCTAATATTCTCAACGAAAATAGTTTCAAACAAATGGAAATTACATGGCTTTGAAAGAAGGGTCTCTTATGAGCAACATCCCGAAGAGTAATATCGCTTCTGGTTTTCATCTTTCAAAAAGAAATTGATCAGCCTTTATAAGAGACTACTCGACGTAACTATTAACATCCAGAGACCGACTGCTGACATTCTTCCGTGGGAATTTGAAGAACCCAAAATGCTCTCACGATACACTGTTAACTTTTATTCGCGTAAGTAATACACAGATAGTTTGTGGAGAATATCTTTTTCAGGTAAATTAGTGTTTCATTGTGACAGCATGTCGTGGTGGCTAATGCTTATAAAAAGATGATGCATTCTACAGCTATCAGATGTGTAGTTTTTATATGTCATATCAGTGAGGGATTGAGATGATTTTGCAAACCTCATTGTAATTCGTCATTTTTTTCTTTTTTTCATTTTAGAGAAGAGGAAGTGACAAGAAGGTCATTTATTAGTTACCCATGATAATGAGTATGAGTAACTTTTATTTTGTTACTGTTTCAATAATCGCTCTTTGCATTTCCCATTGGATAGGTATGTATGTATGATGATACTCAGTTATTCGCTTCGTATTTCTTTACTTCATTTTCTTAGAGCACATCCTATTGTGTAAAACTGATTTAAGCATATTAGTATAAATGTACAGCAGGCCTTAGACTATTGGTTTTTTTATTTTATTTGTACTTCAAGCTTTCGCAGATCTTCTGCTTCGTTCAGGAATGCAAGACTTTTCTATTTTCTTTACATTCTCTGACGATACTGTAGATCGACGAAAGCTTGGATTAAAAAAGAAATATAGTTGCCAAAGGCCTCAATCGAATCGTCCACTTACCTGGTTTCTAAGGCCTCTAAATTAAACATAAATAAATGTTTCGCTGTATGTCCATGAGAGCCATAATTAGTCCCAGATTTCCATTTACCGTAAAATCTTTTAGTTTTCTTATTGCAGTGAATATGAAGCTCCTGCTTTATCAGACATATTTCTGCGATAAATAACCCTTGTATTCGCTTCTATTAACTTTTATTTCAGTATGAGCACACACTTTGAGTTAGGAGAATGTTTTTAGCAGTTAAAGGAGGGAATTCTTTTTTAGCTCATATATAAGGGATTTTGTACATTTATTCATCGGAAAACGAGCTTATAACACCTCGATCTGATTGGTCAAAAACCTATTGTTTATTGCACCGGTAAAACCATAGAAAATTGAAACTTTTTAGCTTGTTTTATAAAAGCAATAGTATAGACCGTACTTTCTATCGGTTTACCAGCGTTGGGATGTTGGTACGTTGGGAAAACAAGGGATGTTGTGAGAACACTCGAATAGGTTGTTATACTCACTCGCCTCCGCATCGTGATATACAAACTTGTTAATTATTCTCCCAAATCCCGCTAGGG